TCAGAACCCAGTATTACCACATGAACTTCTGAATTCATTTGCACTAAAGGGTACAATGAACTAATTTGTGAAACATCAACTGAATTCGAAATCAATATATTAGGAGATATTATATCATTGAATAAGTAGGTACTCGAGTGATTGATGAGAAACGGTGTCAAGCTTTGTCGGTCTGCCCTGTATATCGAACATAGGAATCCAAAATGAAAATGGCGATATAAAAGTCGAGTTATCCTTGGGAAGTCCGGGAATCCTTTGGGAAGTCTGAGAATTCTTTGGGAAGTCCTGGAATTCTTTGGACGTTCAGAAATTCCTTAGGAAGTCCGGGAATTTCTTGGAAAGTCCGAGAATTCCTTTTGTAGTCCAGGTAGTCTTTGGAAAATACGGGTACTCTTTAGGAAGTCCGGGAATTCTTTGGGTAGTCCCAGGAATTCCTTAGGTAGTCCCAGGAATTCCTTAGGTAGTCCCAGGAATTCCGGGAGGTAGTCTGGTGTACCTGAAATCGGCCCGTGATTTATCCTTCGGAGGGGGCCGTTTGAAGTAGGACATGCTGTATATGAAGAAAAATATTCATTCATTTATGTGGAGACAAATCTGCACTGATGAGAGCCAATAAAGCTCGAAACCGGTCTATAGTAAAGCGTATCTGAACAATTTAAGCACATTTAAGCATTTAGGAAGGAAACACTTGAGATTTTATTTGTCTATACAAATCATAGCATAGATTTTGGGAGGATGTAATGCGTTGTTTTGTGTGGCATATAGCCAGGAAAGTAGTTGTTTTCCTTTTGTTATCGACCAGAGTTTCGTCCATTTATGCACATTTGTGGAAATGACTTTGCGTTTTGGGTATTCATCCAACATTTCATTTCACTTCGAGCATTTTGGCTTCTACTTAGTTGTATTATACCGGGTGACACAGGAGACATGTAGTTTTTATATTTGAAGAGATAACAATTTTAAATTCACAAGGGTTATATTATCGATGATTGCGCTTCCCTTGAACCCAATGACAATATTCTTCAACCACCTGTTTGATCGAAAGTGGACCCAACTTTTTTTTTCAAATGACACCCTGTATATTTCTGCAGCCTATTTTATTCGCCTTGAAATTTTCTATTCAACTATGTATCAGAATTTGATATTCGTTGATTAATTGACTGTTAAATTGCATTTTATTGAAATACATATGAAGTTGGCTGTGGCCCGAATTACAATGACATTTCGATGCTTGATAGGCTTAGAAATCCAAAGATCATTAGTTAGACGATATTATCAGAATATTTTCCATACCCTTATCGATCCCAGAAGATTGCCAATAATTTCATTGAGTTTAAAAAAATCATCATCATAATTCACGATATTGAGAAAACTACGATAGAAACTGAGTTTTTTTCATTTGGCTAATTGTGAAGACACTATTTGTCTTTCATTTTTGCCCTGTAGCCACAATATGATCATCCATTTCGATACATGAAACTGGAATTGTTGTAATAATTGATGTATCCTCCTAATATCGGATGATTTTTTTAAACTCAATGAAATGATTGGCAATGTTCTGGAACCGATTACGGTATGGAAAATATTCTGTTGATATCGTCTAAGCCTATCAATCATCGAAATGTCATTGTATTCGGACCACAGCCAACTTTCATGTATTTCAATAAAATGCAGTTCAACAGCCAATTAATGAACGAATATCAAATTGTGATACATAGTTGAATAGAGAATTTGATGGCAAATAAGATAGGTTACAGAAATATACAGGGCGCCATTTGAAAAAAAAAAGGTGGGTCTACTCCCAATCAAACAGGTGGTTGAAGAAAATTGTCATTGGGTTCAAGGGAAGCACCATCATCGATAATATAACCCTTGTGAATTTCAAATTTCCATCTCTTCAAATAAAAAACCTACAGGCTGTTACATGTCTCCTGTGTCATTCAATGTGTCCTGGTGTCAATTACCTGTGAATACTTTTTAATTCTTTTGCCAATACTTGAGTACCACTTCATTACCTCAAATAGCTTAATAATATCGTTATTGATGCTTTTTAATTCCTTTAAAAATATCTTGAATATATTTTCATTATATTAAGTATTCTGATTGATTCTGAAATATTTAAATAACTTTTCAGTATTTCTCAACTCCTTTAATTACTCTCTACTAAATATTTTCATTACTTACAAATATCACATACTTTAAATATGGTGTACACTTTTATGAGAGTTATTTGCCCCTCAGTTCTCATTTCTTATTGGAATTCCTTATGCAATAGGAGCTAATAGAAATACTCCAGACGTTTCTAAAGGAAGGCAAGAACATTGGATTCATGTCTCAGATTCAGGCAATCAAACGGAAGGACTGTTCTGACATCTATTAGCAGCCAGGAGTAGATCACGGGCCAATTTCGGGTACACTAGACTTCCTTTGTCGAAGAAATTCCCGAAATTCCTGGGACTACCCAAAGAATTCCCGGACCTCCTAAAGAATACCCGGAATTCCCAAAGACTACCTGGACTACCCAAGGAATTCCCGGTTTCCCAAGGAATTCCCGGACTTCCCAAATACTACCTGGACTACACGAAAAATTCCCGTCTTTCCAAGGAATTCCTGGACTTCCCAAAGAATAATCGGACTACCTAATGAATTCCCGAACTTCCCAAAGAATTCCTGGAATTCGCAAAGACTACTGGGATTTCCCGAGGCATTGTCGTCTCGGGTACACTAGATTTCCCATGTGATTTACCCCTCGATTAGCAGTATTAGCTTTTATTGCAGAAGTGACAGAAGGGATTCCAATGAGAAATGACAAAATTTCATAATGAGAACTATGTGTTTGAGTTCGTTGTACAACATTGTGATGGCATGCTTCAATTAATGAATAGCCCAAAAACACGATTCATATGCCAACATATTGTGAAAAATTATCTTCCTACGACTACTACTGATGGATATTGTACACAAAACAATGGCAGTAAGCTTCTCCTTACACACGTGTGCGTAAAGAGAGCGATCGCACGGTTTCTATAATAGGTATGTTGATAGATGACTTTGTTTTGTTGCTCAGGCGATGTGTCAATAACAATTAACAATTTCATTAATGTCACTAGCTAGGTGGGTAGTTACTTATCTTTTAATCAATCAATCCAGCTATCCACCGAGCCCGAAAGCATCATGAAAGTTATATTTTTTGAAAATATCATTATTTTCTATTGAGAATCCTCAATTTCGGTTAAAAAAAATGATGTCAAGCGATGACGATGAGCAGATTATTTCTACTACACCAGAAATGTTGGAAAAGGCTAGAATGGTAAAAAATGAGTTGCTACCCGCCAAGTTTCGTAAATGATACGAAATAGCACATCAAAAATTCGTGGACTGGAGAATTAGAAATAATGCCGTGTCATTTTCGGAAAATATCCTTTTAGTATATTTTCAAGAATTACCAAATTTCATGAAATCATCATCACTCTGGTCGATATATTCCATGTTACGATCAACACTAAATATCAATAACAATATTAATATAGCAACATATCCCATTTCCTCAAAAGGGAAGGATATGGATTCCGAAGTAAAAAATCAAAAATACTCAATGCTGAACAGATCAATTACTTTTCTGTAGAATGCTCCTGGTGAAGGTAATTTTTCAAATAACATACATACTCAACATTGAATTGATGAATTCATTTTTCTTTAAATAACAGGAATAATTGAAAAAGATCCATTTTCGAAATTATATTTATAAAATATCTGCTAATACGGAGGAATGGTGATGATAGCTCAGTTGGTTGGAAGCGCTAGCTCCGAACCCAAAGGTCGGTGGTTCAGAGCGCAGTTGGAGAACTTTTTTTTATTATTTTTAATAACGATTACAGAATCTCTCGTGCTGCACTGTTACAAAAAAATAACCATTATGAATGTTAATTTTATATTTTTATACAATGTGTTTTTGGCTACCTATTAATAAAGCTGAAACGGCTCTATTTCAGTTCAATGTATCAATAAACCTCATTGTGATTTGTAACTTTTCATGCAGCTGGCTTAGTGACGGGAGACGTTTTATATTGGTATTCGTTATTTGTACCTTAATACAATATCTGCACTATCCGGAAAAAAATATAGTGTAGTCGTAGAAAAAGTATAGTACAATTCTCGAGTTGTAAAGCAATTACGCACTTGTGGAGTTACACACTCGCCGCTATGCGATGCGGCATCGTGTGTAACTCTCTCCACTTCGTGCGTAATATGCGTTTCACAACTCTTGTTATGTAATACTATTATTCGATGCCTTTGTCAACGAATCATAAATGTTAGGTTGTGTTTCAATGTTTTACCTCCACGCCAGGGTCGGTCATCGTGCACACGACCTGTGTACACAGAATCCTCAACAAGTATGGGTATTCTGTGACCTATACCTATCTACCTACCTACTTTAACATGTAATTTTCGATCTTCGTCTACTAAACTAGCATTTGAATATAATAGAGAGTTGAAGTGTTGTCATGAACGTTAACGTAAACGTAGAAATTGACAGCTACGCATGCGCATTTTCCAATTCTTCACGTTTGCGTTGTTAGTGGGCTTACGGGTGGGTGTACGTTATCTCACGTTCCTTCACGTATACCTTAAATATCAACGTACGTTAACCAAACTATACTCGAAATATGCCGATGAGTCAAAATTATCAAATTCGAGATCACCAACGAGTTCTGCATCAAGGAGTCCTCTAATTTTGACAGGAATAAATGTTCGAATCTAAACACACAACCAAAAATGACCAATACAAACCGAAAACAAAATGTATTATTGTTATGATGACAGTGACGACCAAAGTGGCGACTTCAACTCAATTTAACGACAATACGTAAACGTTATTTTTCGTACGTTAACGTCTACGTGGAGGTCTACGTACAGTGATTACTTCAACTCTCTAATACTAATAATATATAAGTAGGAAGGAAAATCCCAAAAATTAGGAGATATGCGAGTGTACTTACCGATACAGAGATTGGATATTAAATTGTATAGATAATAATATCTGCACACTGCACTGTGAACTGCATAAATGGAAATATCGAAATATGTAATGAACAAAATAACTGTTTGATTTGACTGTGATTTGGACGTAAACAGGCTGTTCGAGACCGGAAAAATATAGTACTAGATCTGACTTCGAAAAAGTGCTAGAGCTGAGAATTTAGTACTGAATTGTAATTTTCTTCAAATTTGCTATCGGCAAAAATCCCGAAATTTTGCTGGATAGTCCTAATAGCTATGGCCTGTTTTATTGGAAATATTCGAGAATAAATATGCAGAATATTTGAACAAATATTAAACCTCAAGTTATCGAAAGACGTGAGCCATCTTACGTTTTTTACTCTCAATGCGGAACTTTGCGATCAATTCTTACATTGACGGAGAAGAAGATATTATAGCGAAAGGCCAAATGATACGAAAATAAGAAGTATATTCATCAGTTCTACCAACCCTGACCTCATGTTTCGGTAACGTGGTTTGGTCGACAATGAAAAATATTAGCCCTCACATTGAGAGTTGAAAAAGGTAAGTCTGCTCAAGTATTTCCATAACTCGAGGTTTTCTATTCGTTCAAAAATTCAACATAATGTTTATATATTTTCGATGAAACAGGCCAAGCCTTTAGAGCTATTCGGCAAAATTTTGGGATTTTTGGCGTTGACGTTTACCTCATGTTTTAGTGGCGCCAACTGGTGAGTCTGAAAATGTTAGCCCCCATTGGCCCCGAATACGTTTAAATTGCAATATACCCTGTACTGACACAACATATATTTTTTTCCAAAAGGAAGAAGGAAAGCTCAGTCATCTCCACTAGGGTCCCTTGTTGCAAACTGACGTATTTGTCATCTTAACAGGCGGACAGATCCTGCTCGTCTCCTCTCACTCTGAAGTGTTTGTGAAATATTTATATTAATAGTTCCATCCCTGGGGATAAACACTAAATTTTTGACATTTGTTGTTTTTTAGGTTATATATTGAGGTCATTGGCGTATCATACGTAATTTCCATATGGCATTCCTGATTCAACTATAACAAGATATAGATGAACAATCCTCTAGTTTTAGAGTTTACTACTCCAGCATAATCTTTGCGAGGTAGGAAATATATAAATAGTACTGGAAGCTTAATATATTTCACCAAAAGAGACTTATTCTTAGACTGTATGCCAGGGTTGACTGAATTGACTGAATGACTTTCGATTATTTCAAGCTGAGCAGTAGTTTATTATCTATGCACTGAATGAGCTGAGTCTTATGATTGAGAAATGGTGAAAACCTGGATGTATATAGGTTTCTAAACTACTGTACTCATGTCATGCGTGCTAAATATATTTTCGGAAATCCAACTCGGAGATGAATTTATGGAGTGACTAATATCACACTATGTATAAAACTTCGTCTAGTACGAAAAGTAGGCTGATCTCGAATTTTTCAAGTTTCACGAAACACTCATTATCTCCAACCCCGGAAAATACCCAGACACCTTCCAATTATGTTGAATAGAATCGGATCATAATTACAATACTCGTTCGCCATATGATCTTCTTCAACTAATAAATACCCTGTACATACCTATTATTGAAATTTTGAATGATTTTCTGTAGTGGCCATGGATGTCACGTGACAGCAATGTCAGGTATGCCAGTAGACAAAACTAAAGTCTTCAGATCATTAAAAAGAATGCAGCTATGATATGTCCCTCCTAATCTCCACTACTTTATAAATTATGTAAATAAATCAAAGGAAAATGTTTCGGACTCATGAAAGTCCATCATCAGCTGTATTTTAGGAGTTACTTCAAGCAAAGGCATGCGAAAATATACATATTGTTATTAAAAACCAAAATTTGACTCACATGGAGGTGAACATTAAATGTTTTTAAAATGGATGCCGATGTCTGTCATCATAATATCGTGATTGTTGATAAATATAGGTTGAGAAAAAACTGGTTTTCATTAAAAATGAAGGGCCCTGTGCCCTAAGAACGCGCACTTACCAAAACCAAAAGTCAAGTCCCAGAAAGGAAACTTGACGAGCACTCAAAGGTGCTCGTTAAAAACATATTAAGTTGCAAGACAGAAAAAATGAAAGGATCCCGTACCCAGGTTTTTCAGTACTAGATTACATCAAGAAGTACTTCAGTACTGAACATCTCTGAATAGCACTAGATCTTGTACTAAAGTACTGACTGGAACAGTCTTGGTAAACAGCAACGCATATATCCACTACTCTATATAATAATATGAAGCATACCTGTCCTCAAGGCAGGACCAACTTCTGTCTCTATGTAACGAAATCGACCAATACCTACCTCCTGTCCCTATCCTCCCTAGGAACGCACGATGTTCTTTGAACATTATAGGGATTCCCTTTCGTGCGCTCCAAGCGATAGCGATAAAAAAAAAGCGGTGATGCCGACGTAGGGAAAAAATAATACGCAACTTGTTGAACCACTGAACCAATATGGCTAGGAATTTGAAATTTATAAATTGTGATTGAAATTCTTTTCTAGTTTTACAATTTTTTTAGGGTTTTTTTTCGTTTATTTTTTATAGACTGAACATTTTTAGCCATGTGTAGTGGAACGAGATCAGTATTTGCGGATGAAAGAATAGACAGGAATCCTCTTAACTCCTAACTTATTGCTCCGTTTTTATATACAGGATGTTGAAGTTGGAAATATTAAGTGTTTTTATTTCCTACCCTCCTGTATAAGCTATCATGGTGCCAAAATTCAGTATGGTTGGGGACTAAGGAAGCCCCAAAATTTCAAAATGATTGTAATTGGGGTTACTGAGTAATCTCAATGGAAGTCTTGAAAACACCTATACATTCAATTCGGAGCCATATCGAATTTTTATTGTTTCCTCAAAACCAAGCTAGATACATGAATCACACAGACGACAAAAAAGTTGTTATTTCAATAGTTCAATCTAATAAAAATATAAAACTCAAAAAAACTGGTTGCGTACAATGACATTCACCATGAATATCGATAAATTTACCCAATGTGACGCCACTGGAAATATTATTCCGAATATAATTGCACCAGAAGAAGCTCCATATTATATTACTATGAACAAAACCACAACGTTTTATCGAAATTAAAAACTATTTTTCATGGAAATATTAATACCCTGTATCTCGAAAACGAAGCAAGTTAGGACACATTTTCAAATGAACTTTATTTCTGAAAATATCACAAGGAAGGTGTTTTTTAGATACACCCTCCTGTATATTGACCTGCCCAAAGGTACACACTAATTCACATTAAATTTCAGACTCCCAAAGAACCCTGAACGAAGGAACTTGTGGCTTCAATCTTGAGGATAACCTATTCCCTCAATCTCATAATATGTAGTCAGCACTTTATACAAAATATGTATTTATTTATTTCAACGGTTACACCATTTTTATGAAAAAAATTACAACAAAAATATGAATAATAATAGTAGGAGCAATGAAAATTACACTCATGGAAATGCTTAGCACTTATTATATTAATCAGGTATTCCTAATTGTTTTCACAACATTTAGTTTTGAATTTACCTAGACTGCCACAGAATAGGTCACAATGATTTTGAAGAACGACATAATTCCTTCGTAGCCTTGAAATAGGGTTATTGTTGCCATAATTCGTTGAGTGAAAAGTCAAGGAAAATAAAGGAGGATTTCTTGTTCTGGTCAATGTATTAAATCTAATCAAACTAAGCAGATCTGGAGAATTAATAAGGCCATTGACCAATTTATATAGGAAACACATATCCAACACTAATCTGCGATTTTCTAAAGTTAGTAGATTAAGCTCCATTAAGATATCTGGGTAGTTTATAAGAGCAACATGATAACTCTTGCGATATGAATATGTTCTCAGGAACCTTTTCTGAATTCGCTCTAAACTATCAATATGTATTTGATAAAAAGGCCTCCGAATGATGGAACCATACTCAAGTGAAGGTCTATAAAACCAGATGGCAATAAAGTGAACTAAGTGTTTCAGGAGAGAATTGTTTACTGTTCCTAGTAATAAAACCTAAGTTCATTGATGCAGTGTTCACTATACCTTAGTAATATGACTTCTAAAAGTTAGTTTAATATCGAATATTGTGCCTAAGTCCTTTATCTCATTGGCTCTCTTCAATACAGAGTTATTTATTCTATAAGCGTTTTCAATATAATTATGACCCATTGAGAAAGTAATAAAAAAACACTTTGAAATATTGAGGTCCAAGTAATTAACTCTAGACCAGACATGGAAGTTATTCAAATCAGATTGCAGCAGATCAATATCCATATGATGCTGAATTTCTTTATATATTTTGAAGTCATCAGCATATAATGTAAAAACAGAGTGAAAAATATATTTGCTAATATCGTTGACAAACAAATTGAAAAGTAACGGTCCACAATGAGAGCCTTGAGGAACTCCTGACAGTACTGGAATTACGTTAGATTAAAAACTTTTGATCCTCACCTGCTGTTGACGACCAACTAAGAAACTTTCAATCCATGCTACCAAACCAAGATTTATACCCATATCAAATCAAATCGAAGTGATCAAATAATTATTTACGAACCTAACCTAACCTAACTAGAAATCTAATCCTCACGTCAGCAGTTTTTATCCTTCACTTTCCGTCCTTATAGATTCAAAAAGTACATCTCATTATGGCAACAATATGGTCCCATTTTTGTTGATATATCGTATAGCCGATGCGCCATATATAGAGTAGTAGATATATGTAGCAACTTGTATCGTCACTCTAATTGGTAGCAACAGGTCAACGCAGTGTTGCCGCCGCCGGATTGGCTCATTGCAGTGTTGTTACGATCACTAGCGTCTAGAGACAGGAGAAAAAAATATAGTCATCGAAGTGGGGGAACCACGCTAAGCCAGTTCACATTTTGAGACATCATCGTTTTCCCGAATTTCACCGAATTTGATGAAAAGGCCGATATTAGTTATAATAAATGTTTTGTCAAACATTTTATTCAATTGTATCTTTTTTCTTGACTAGGTGAATAAGTATTTCATCGATATTGAATATGTAACGAGATCAAAAGGTGGTAAACA